AAAATATGTGGACAAAATGTTATAAACTATTTTTAATTTTTTTCTTGAATTTTGATGCATACTGTAAAAATTGTTCCCTGCTTCTTCATAGTGTAGTTCTGCATTATAAAATCGTTCCAGCTTGTAATACCTGAAATATTTTCGCATTCTCTGGTGCCATAAAATAGATGAAAGATTAAAGTCATTTGGTTCTCTGCTGGCAAGTTTCACATCTTTGTTACACTCTTCAAATATTCCACTCTTTTGACTAAAGGACAGAAAAGTGAAAACATGTCCTTTCTAGAAAGACAGGAGGGAATATTCGTTGTTCCCTACTTCAGTGCCAAGCTCTGCCATTGCAGCAGCAAGAGAATATTGCCCTTTCTATGGTTGCAACCAAACCCTTGCACCGCAGCTGAGATACAGAGTGCCTTCAGTTTTCTGTGAGTTCATAGTGAATTTGAATATTGTAGTTTTGTTTTATAATACAGTGGCAATGAAACGTTGTTTGGAAAATTATGAAATTGAAAGGCTGTTGAAATACAAGATATGTAACGTGAGACTCTGCTTTCTTTGGTGCTTCAAGGAGTATTACACAAAGGCAAGATTCAGTTATATGAAGCGGGGATTGAAGCCTGTATATGTCGAGCAGATAACATAAAAGTATGTACTTGTATATTGAATTTTACTATTTTTAAAAATAAATATTTAGTATTTGCATATGCTTCTACGAGCTTCTGCTCTCAGCATTTAAATGCCCAGATTTACAAGTCGGGGTACTTTGGCTGCAGTGACCATACTCATCATTGTACCAGTCGGTGCACTTCAGATGTTAAAGGTTAATGTGCTGTGGGTTCGTCTGGAAGAGGCAAGGATGACAAGGATGTGGGCTATTAACTGCATCACATATGAGAGAAGAGTTAGCCTACCCTGAAGGAAATAGATGATAGATTTTTGAGCGTTATGTTGCTTGTGACACTATGGGGCATATTCAGACCTGATGTAGCCAGGAAATATATCTTTTAGATGACTCTGAAATGAGTAAGTTACAAGACCTTCTGTCTGTGTTTCTGATGAAAACCATATCGTGGAAGGAATGAACACAGATTTTTCTCCCCTGCATGTGCTGTCTTCTGCCACACCTGTTAGTTGTCACTTGAATTTCTCCCTTTCATTCTGTCTGCAGAATTGCTTTTTGTCTCTTTCTCTGTTCTCCACATTCTCCATTTGTTACTGGGATATTGTTGTCATTTATTAATATCCACTGACAAATCACATCTCTTCACTACGTTGAAGTCTTCAACAAGAATGATTACAGCATTGAATACTGTGGTAATAAAGAAAACGGCTTGGTGCACCTTGGCCAGGGTGTTTTATACCATACTGCTACAGTAGGTATCATGGGTTCTATGGTTTGACTTGGTAAAGCATTTTGGAACTGGGCCATGTGTAAGGTAAATGGTGCTAAATATGAGCAGAAATCACTGTACTAATTACTTTATTACAATAGATTCAGTACAGTGAAATCCCTTGAGTTTAGCTGAACTCTCACTATCTGAGTTAGGACAGCACCTGCTTCCATAACTTGAGCTGCATCTGACGTGGAGTAGACAATACTGAGGATGAACAAAGCAGTTTGGGAGGGCCCGGGCTAGTGTATATTGTCACATGTTTGGGTGACTGAGATGTGGGTTTCGATTGGTAATTGGATTTATTAACAATGTACAGGTCCTAACTACAAACAGTTATTACACTCTTGTTGATTTACACAATTTACAGTCAATCTACAGTAATCTTCTCAGTCTATTTCCACTAGTCTTATCTGTGTCATGGTAATGGATTTATAACAAGGGAACTGTAAAAGTCTCACTAAATTACACACACCCAATCCCACTGCACTGTAGCACACATAAAGTCTTCAATTCACAAGTTAACTCTTCTTCAGATACAAACTTTCCGTGACTGTCTCCTACCAAGAACTCTTCTCATAACTGTTCAACTTACTCTGCCACTCACCGCCATCCACCATCACTGTCATTCATCGCCACCGTCACTCACCGCCACTGCCACCGCCACTATTTATTTCTGCCAGTTTAGGAATTCTACTCATATGGCTGAGGGACCGGTATTGTCCAACAGTAAACACATAACACATGACCCCTACCCACTGTTGCTGTGTGACATCACTGCACATGCCCGCCTGACGGACTCGCAGGAAACACATCATGTGACAGCCACTTACTGTTGATGTGTAATTTCACCAAACCTATGCCAGCTGCCAGACACACGGAAAACACAGCTAGCTCTAGTGTTACGGGTGCATATTGTGGTTTGCCTGGCAACACGTTGATCAAATACGCCCCAATATACTTGATGATTAGAAAGTCTGACCTTTTTGAAGTGTCGATAATGGTTTAGAAGTTTTTATAAATTGCTACCACAAGTCTAGTAGTCCTCAGCTGGTATATGGTAACCCTGTATCCTTTTCATGGGCCTGTTTGACAACAGCCATGACCAGAAGGCATTAGGTGTCATCACCTTTTGCAACCTTGTACTAGAAGAAATATAACTGAATTGGAAACTTTGTACAGCAGTGAAGACAACCAGTTACACTTTTAATAATACAACAAATCTGTTCAGCTATACATTAAACATAGTATATCTCTTCATGATTAATATTGTTACATATGAGGGTTCTTCCTGACAAGTAATAATAGGTTCTGGATTTGATGGTTGGATTTATTGGCACTTCTGTTACAGTTACAATCTACGTGGTGCAATCCCAAAGTTCCAGAAATTGTCGCATTATACTCCCAACACGTGACAATATTGTGACATGCTGTGCAACAAAGGACCCCTACCTCCCCAGCGTCACATAGCGGTAACGTAGCGCTCGCGTAATAGGCGAGTCATCACCCCGCCACTCTCCCCGCGGTGACGTCACGAGCGGAGCAGAAGTGAGCCGAGCGGATCCGAAGATAGCCGAGTCCCCGCATCCTGGTAGCTATGCAATGCGCAACGCGCGGTGACGCGGAACCGCTTCCTACTGTGACGTGGCATGCAACAGGCAAGCACTGTGGCTATACAAGTGAGCTGCACAGCGGCTGCGAGTCAGTTGAATTGTGGCTACCGCAGAGTCAAGTTGTAGATGAGCGAGTGTGTTATCAACAGTTCTCCAGTCAGCCGACTACAGTTGGAGTATAGCAGCCGTCGCAGAAAGAAGAACTGGACGTGTGTGTGATTGTGTAATTGGGAGCGTGTGATACAGTGATACACAGCTCCCCTACTGTAAACGTCTAGACTACTGAAGACAGAGTGAACTGATTTGCGCATAGGGTTATAAGTCGTGAAACCCCGCAACAGTGGTAACAGATTAATGCGATTAGGGTTATAACGTGTGAAACCCCGCAACTGTGTGATAAGTAATTGTAGCTGTTACTTGTAGATTGTTCAATAAACCAATTAACGATCTCTACGGCGTCTTCAGTAACCAAACACGTTACAATATTAATAAAAACTATTACGTCTTACTTGGATCTTATTCTGCACCATCACCTTCAAAGTAGTCCCCTTGGGAGTGCATACACCGATCCCAGCCTTTCTGCCACTTTGAAATGCATCCTGGAAGTCTTTCTTTGTTAGGGTGTTTAGTACCGTCTGCGTTTCCGCTTAAATTTCCTCAACTGTATCAAATCTTCGTCCCTTCAACTTGATTTTCATCTTGGGGAAGAGAAAGAAGTCGCATGGAGCTAAGTCTGGCGAGTACGGTGGGTAGGGAACAACTGCCATCTTTTTTTTAGCCCAAAATTCCTGCACAGTGTAAGCCATGTGCAGTCGTGCTTTGTCATGGTGGAATACCCAATTGTTTGTGCGCCACTTCTCTGGACGTTTTCGATTCATGTCCTCCTCAAAACGCCGTAGAGCATTTTGATAGAGCTTTTTATTGACTGACCAGGAGGGACGAACTCCTTATGAACAGTCCTGTCAATATAAAAAAAAAGACACCAACATGGACTTAATGTTGCTCTTGACTTGTCGAGCTTTTTTTGGCCTAGGTGAAGAAAAGCTCTTCCATTGTGACGATTATTGCTTGCTTTCAGGTTTGCAGCCATAAACCCAACGTTTGTCACCAGTGACAACCTTTGAAAGAAAGTTTGGATCCTCTTGAAGCTGTTGAAGTTCCCTGCAGACTTCCAAGCAATGCTGCTTCTGTTCATTTTGCAGCAGTCATGGCACAAACTTCGCTGCAGTCCACCTCATGTTCAGTTCCTCTGACAAAATTTGTTGACATGTACCATAACTTTAGTCTCAAGGTGTTACAGAGGTCTTGGATGGTCAGTCTGTGATCTTGCAGAATCAGATCCCTAACTTCCCTGACATTCTCTGGTGTGGTGCCAGTTGACGGCCATCCTGAACGATTGTCATCATTAGTCGATGTTCAGCCATTTTTGGAATGGTTATACCAGTCATAAGTTTGTGTCTGGCCTAAACTGTTGTCACCAAAAGCTTGCTTCAACATTTGGTGCGTTTCTGCAGTGGTTTTCCCAAGTTTAAAACAAAACTTTATACAGACACACTGCTCTCTCAGGTCAGCCATTGCAAAACCGCAAACTCATGGAAACACAACAATGGAAATACGTTCACCAACAATAAACCCAACAACTGAACTTGATGCCGCTTGCCACACTGATTCAAGAAAGGTATGTGGCGAGTCATCTATTGGTATTTTGATGTACTCTTAATCATTCATGCGCAAAATTCAAATTTTCGGAACTTTTGGATTGCACCACATATTATAACAGCCCACAATCAATGGCTGTGTATGCTTTCAGCTGTTAGCATCACAGTACCCTAAAACATGTCCTCATGCAACAGTGGAAGTGAACCAGTGGTATTGATGAAGGGAAGTGTACTCTGTAACTGAGAGGCAGCAGGTAGCTGACTTAACCCCCCACCACCCATGTTCATTCTTTTCCTGACCCAAGTTTGGTGGTGTTCATGCCTCCTTATCTGTTTTACAGAAACATGAATATTACTTACAGAGTTTAGAATATGGTGGATATGGCAACTCATATGCAGGACATCAAGTTGCAGCTGCAGCGGCTTCACAGTACGCAAGCTACTATGCTCAGAGTTATTCTCCATATGCTGTGTCTGGCTCGAGTTCTGGTGGCACTGGGGGTGGAGCAACAGCTTCAGGCTATCAAATTGCTGCTGGAGTTCAACACGGTGCAGCATTACCAGGTAAGGACTTAATAAAGGTGCAGTTTCCCTTCAGAATGCAGCACTGTGCAGTGCAATATGTAAAGTGATCATTGTGGAAACAAAGATTATAACAAGCAAGATCTTAAAGGAAGGTTTTAGTGGAGGTCTTTCTTGTCAAGGTAAAGCTATCCCTGTATCAGGCCATGGAGGCCCATAGGGTTGTGAGATGTTGAGGGTCCCTTAGAAAGAGCTAGCCTCAATCAATGGATTGTGCAAAATGGGAAAGATTCTGTAGGTAGATGGATTAATGTATGGATGGATTGATTGATCGCTGGCTGGTTGGTTGGGAGGGTGGGTGGGTGGACACAGTAAATTTAATTTATGCAAAGGTAATGACAAGTAGTTTTAACTACAGTGACATCAAATACATACAAGTTCCAACTTTTTACATGAAGTACTTTTGGAACTTTTAAGTGGATAAAAACACTGGTTAAACAGCTATATAAATGTGACTCACAGGTGTCTATAATTTGTTGAACTGGTGATGACCTGTGTCAAATCATCCCTTGAATAATTACAAGAATCTTTATCATTTCTCAAGTAGTATAAGTGGTAATTGAGAGGAAGTTTGGTTAAAATATGCTGCATTTTATTATCATGTGTTTGATGTTGTTATCCATTGCTTCTCCTCTATCAAAAAGCTCCTGGTATTGTAATTTTCCCATACATGTTCACTGTCAAAAGCCTTCTGCAACCAACTATATGGTTGTCCACCACATTAATGATTATGTTCCGCATTTTATATCTTTGTTGTTTAGATTTCTTAACATTTTTATAGTAGTAGTAATAGCAGTAGCAGTAGCAGTAGTAATAAGAAATTAAAACATGATTCAGGAGAAAATTAAGAGGAGGTTGAATTTGGGTAATGCTTGTTACCATTCATTCCAGAAGCTTTTGTCTTCTCGGCTGCTGTTTAAAAACAAAAATTATAATATAGAAAACTATAATATTGCCTGTGGTTCTGTATGGGTGTGAAACTTGGTCTCTGACATTAAGGGAGGAACATAGACTGAAGGTGTTCGAGAACAGGGTGTTGAGAATATTTGGACCAAAGAGAGATGAAGTAACGGGAGGTTGGAGAAAACTGCATAATGAGGAGTAATATGTATTCTTCGCAAAATATAATTAGATTGATTAAGTCAAAGGGCATGAGATGGACAGGGCATGTAGCATGAATGTGGGAAAGAGGAATGCACAAAGGATATTGGTGAGAAAGCCAGAAGGAAAAGATCACTAGGAAGAACAAGACATAGGTGGATGAATAATATTAAAATGGATCTTAGAGAGAGAGAGGATGGGATGGTATTGAGTGGATTGATCTGGCTCAGGATAGGGGCCAGTGGAGGGCTCTTGTGAACAAGGTAATGAACCTTCAGGTTCCATAAAATGCTGGGAAGTTGTTTGAGTAGCTGCACAGTTGCAGCTTCTCATGAAGGACTCAGCTCTATGGTTGAGTGAGTTCACATATTGGGGAAGTAGATGGCAGGAGTTTTATGCTGTTCCATAGTTGAAGCATTATTTTAACTCTTACACTTCCAGGCCACACACCAGAACTACCTGCTAGGAATGTCAAGGCTGCTGGGTTGTTAATGCAGTTGCACAGAACACCTGCAATACTTTCTCAAATGATGACAGGTATAGATCAGTGAAAGCCTGTTTTTTTCCCCCTAAAGATTGATACATCATGCTTGATGGTGTCTGTTAACCAGTGTTGTACCAATTGATTAATAATAAGCCAATATCTTCAGTTGTGGCGATTTTAATTTGAGTATTTGCACTTAATCAGTTTGTAGCATTTGTAGGTTATTTTTTTTTTCTAAGTTAATTTGTTGCCTGTAGGAGTGAGGTTAGAAATTCAAAATGGCATAAATGAACTGTAACAGTACAATAATTCTAATTTTTCATTTCTCATATGTATTTTTTCCTTTGAAAATTATTCTCTTCAGGGATACGTTGCTATACAGTCTGATTGATATATACCACCATTATGGACAGACTGTCACATCCATCTTCTGCCCTGTATATGGAGGCAACAGGTTCCTTTGGAACAGACTACATGGCTTCATATCTCAGAAGACAGTAATTTTCATAGTCACTGCATTGAGTGGCTCACATCCCACATTTTTCTGCACTGTTCCTGTAGATAGCCCAAGTGGGTTCCAGCTGTCTGAGAATGGCCCTGTATCACCTGTCAAAGCAGAATCTAATGGTCCTGGAGGCAGTGGTAGTGGGCGACGGGCTCGGGAAGGAAGTGGAGGAGGAGATGGAGGCTCTCGCTCCAGTAGGGGTCGTGGTCGTCGCCAAAACAATCCTTCGCCCAGCAGCCCTGAAAGCAATCTGGAGCGAGTTTTCATCTGGGATCTTGATGAGACGATTATTATCTTCCACTCTCTGCTGACAGGGTCATTTGCCACTCGTTATGGCAAGGTGTTGTAATTATGGTTTTTTATATTTATTTAAGAATCTTGTTGGATTAATTTTACAGTTTTATATATATATATATATATA